TAATTTAAGAAAAATAAGTGCAATTTTTTTGAAGAAAATTATAAAAATATTTAAACTCAAAAAAGTACAAGTCACCTGACAACTTCAAAAAAGAAACAGAGTGATGGGGAATGGAGGCACTTGAGGGGAGAGAAATTCTAAATGTTGAGCTGGAAACAAGGCGCCACTCCTATTGAGAGAATTTTTTTTTTTTAAAAAAAAAAGAAATGCTACGCAACGGTGCCGTTTTAAAGCCCGAGCACTAAGTGCTCATCAATTCGATGATCACCTAATGCGGACTCAGTGTTACCCAAGGTCATGTGTAGCAGGTAGATATGATTCAATAGTTAATTCAATTTATTTATCTCTATGTGGTGCGCATACTAGCTTTAATAGTTAGTTTTTTTTTGGTGAACAGCTTTAATAATTAATTTTGTATGTTTTGCATTGATTACATGTTTGGTTAATACCAGATTCTCAAAATTGTTGATGTGATTAACTTTGGTTAATGTCAAGTTGTCAAAATAACAAGGAATAAAAAACCAGACCGGATACTAAACCAGTCTGTATTGTAGTTTAAGGGTTAATAGATTAAATCGGAATTCAACCAAAATTAGACTAGTAATAATTAAAATAGTATAATTTAATTAAAATGAATAAAAATATGTGAAATTTTTTTCTTTTTTTATTTTTTTATTCTATTTTTTTTCTTCTTTTCTTTTTATCTATATAAAATCATTATCTTTTTATTATTTTATCCCTTTCCTCTCTCTCCCACGTGATGCTACTGCCTAGGGGTGGTAATACGGGCCAACCCGCGGGTTGCGGGTTGGCCCGTGGCAGGTTCAACCCATATGGGTCGGGTTGAAAAGTGTCGTTTGAAGGCGGGTTGGCTTTTAGCCAACCCTAACCCGCCAAGGTGGGTTGGTAGGTTGGCCCGCCAACCCGCCAACAATTATTTACTTTTTTTTTTTAATTTTTTAATCTTTTAATATTATTTTTTTATTCAATATTTAAAAAATATAATGATATTTTTACTTTTTTCTTGAAATATTTGATTGGAAATACCAAATAAATTATATAGGTATTTTTTTAATTTTTTAGATATAATATCATATATAATAATACAATTATAATAATTTTAAAAAATTTAAAAATAAAAAAAAATATGCAGGTTAGCCCGCGGGTTGGAAATATTCGTTTACTGATGGGTTGGTTTTTAGCCAACCCTAACCTGTTATTTTTGACGGGTTGGCGGGTTGAACCTGCGGGTTCAACCCATATTACCGCTCTACTACTGCCGTTCCATTTCCCACCATAGCACGCATAACAAATCAGTTTTTTCTTTCTTTCTTCTCTCTTCTCCTTTGAGAATGGACACGCAAACTTTGCTTCTTGAAAACATGAGACATTTCATAGCTTCTCCGGCCAATGGTGAGAGTGGAAAAGAAATGATAGAAAAAATGAACCAGCGACCCATCCAACCCAGCAATTTTTCCGGTTTGTACCGATTTTTTCTGGTCCATCCCGGTTCTTCCCAGTTGATTGTAAGGCCAGTTCATAAGTCAAATTAGACCAGATCAAATACCAGTTCACTGGTTTCCCGTTTAAACCGGCCGCTCCGGTCTAGTTTTTTGAACCTTACAAAATAAATAACGCAGCCAACATTTTTGCAGCCAAACCGGACCAAACGGTCGGACCGGCCAAACAGTTAGCTGCAAAGGGGAACAGATTGGGTCACTTGATTGGACCGTTAAGGTTTCAGATCGAACTGGGCTGCCTAAAACCAGATTTTGAGCTATTAGCCGGAATCCAGCCGCCAACTGGGACAAATATTGAAGAATCGGACGAGTCTTAAAAGGAACACAAAAGGAGGAGGACGACGAAGAAGAAAAGAAAATAGAAGATGAAGATTGAAAGAGGGAACAAGAATATTGAAGACGAGGGAGTAAAACTCTTATCTGTGATACAAAACCGAATTACTCTTGAGTGAAACAAGAAGTATGAGTGAAACAATCGTCATCGCCATCCTTCGCTGCCGGGAACAAGTGAAGTGAAGGAAAAAAGGAAAAAAACCAAGAGGCAACAACCAGAGAGAGAAAAAGGAACAGGAACAAGCTTTGACCCATTCAAATTCATTAGTTATTAATTATTAAATAACTCTTTCGAAACAATTTTATTATCTAGTTCTGATAAAAATTTCTTTATTTTCTAAACAAATTAAAGGATAAACATTAAAATTTTTATAAGTTGTTAATAAAATCTTACACAGTACGCTTTATCATTAGCTGTGATGTATTCAAAATTAATTTCTTATGTATTTAATTACATATTATGGCGTTTTTATGCACTTTGATGTTTTATTTTATATACACAAACACGCACACCCTATAGATGACATATAAAGCAAACTTAGCGCCACAAAGCCACTAGTTTACTTTGTTACAAATATACAACAAATAATAACAATACCATAAAATAATTATTTATTTTATACTAGTTTAAGGGTTATTACAAAAATAGTAGATAACCTTAGATAACATTGTGTTATTGATGTCTTAGGTTAGGGGAAAAGCATAATTTTTAAAATTGCAGGCATGAAAAGGCAACTTGAGAAATTATGTCCGGAATTTCAAGAAAAATATCCAACGACACAAGATAGAGAATAATTCTCCACACCATGTTAGGCTTTAATTGAGGTATAAATAAGAAAATTACCTCAAAAAAGAATTTTAAATAACTAATGAAATTTTGGCTAAATAAAGAATAATTAGACAAATTTGACTATGAAAAATACCAGCAGGCCTCAAAGTCATTTTAAGATATATTTGCATTTATAAAAATTGTTCCATGACTAGAAATAGGAAATTTTGGTTTAAAGAGTATTTTATATGTGATTTAACCCAAAAATAGGGCAGTTTCTTGGAAAATTAAGGAAAAATACTTAGAGAATAAATTTTTGCTTGAGAAAAATAAAAAAAATAGGAAAGTAATGCCTAATAAATGTGAATTATTGATGGTCTAACATTAATTATATGATTAAAGAATTTTCAAAAAGCATCTGTAGAAGGTTAAGCTCATAATAATTAAGAAGTAGAAGAGAAATTAGACAAAACTCATCTCACATATTTATTTTATATTCTATAAATCACGACTGAAAAGTTGCTTATAGGCTATTTATAAGTCATTCCAAACAACATTAAGCTTTGGAAAGAGAATTTTTGATAGTTTGCAAGTACAAAGGTGGCATGAATCTAAAGAGGGATGGTATAAAGAATTATTTTGGAGCCTTTGGATCAAAGAGAAACCAATAAAGTAATATTTGGAATGGACGCATCATGAAACTTGGTGTAGAAAAATGAGATAAAACTACCTCACTCATTTCTTTCCTTGCTCAAGTCGGCTGGAACCACAAAACAGAGAGGGGAGACACGAAAGCGTAAGAGAAAATAGGAGGAGAAGATCAAGTGGATTAATAGTTATGATTTTTCAAATTTTATCATCATTTATGAAGTGAATTGTGACCTTAGTAAATTAAAAGTTTGGGTTGTTTAGTGATTCAAGATCATGAAATGGATCATTCACAAAACTTTGGATGGAGTAGGAACAGGGCAAATGCTATTGGATGAACACGAAACTTTCCAGCCTGCTAGTACACTTACCAAATTTTAAAACAAGTGCTAATTTGTTAAATTCATATGTGTACATTTATTGTTATGAATTTCCAAAGTCGATGCGAAATCTAGGAAGTGCAGAATGAAGTGAACATATGGGCAGTTCATGTTTCGTGGTTTTTCTATAATTATTGGTCATGGATGTGGACCAGATTTATTTCTTTTCACTGCAGAGGATATTAAGGTGTCCTTTGGTGCAAAGCATTGAAAACGAAAGATAAGAACTAGGATTGCAATTGAAAAAAATCATTAAAATTTTTTTTAACATAAATAATTACTTGTTATATGGGATTAGGCAAACCCATAGAAGTAGGATTGGGGAATACTACTTCCCCCCATGGTATTCCTCAATCCCACATACATGGATTTGTCTAATCCTATATAACAAGCAATCTTTCATGCTAAATACTATTGTTTCAATTTCAATTCTAATCCTTATATTTCATTCTCAATACTTCGTACCAAACGGTACCCAAGGGTCTGCTTGGCTCAGTGAGAGGAAGGGAAAGGGAGGGATTTTAATGGAGGGAAGGAGATGGGAGGAAAGTATAAGGATTTTAATATTATCTTGTTTGAATTTATAAAAAGGGAGGGAAGGGGAGGAGTTTTAATATTACCTCGTCGTTTAGTTCATGAGGGGAAAGAAGGGAAAAATATTTTGACATGGACATTTTGTCCTTATTTTTTTATTTAAGATATGGGCATAACGACCATCATATGGTAAAATATGGACATAATGATCACAACATGACAAAATATTGCCCTTTCCCTCCAAATCCTCCCAATTTTGGAGGGAAGGTTGATGAATTTTCCCTCTCCTCCTAAAATTTGTGTGTTGCCAAACAATGGAAAATGATTAAAATCCTTCCCCTCCTCCTTCCTCTTCCCTCCAAATCCCTTATACCAAACACACCCTAAGAGCATCAAATAGAGGCTTAATCCACGCTGTTTTGATTTTTTTTTAGAAATAATTATAATTTTTAAAATTTTGTCACAATTAAGAACGTTATCAAGTGAATATGACTTTAGTAATTAAATTAAAATTTTGAGTTGTTTACTAATTCAAGATCATGAAATGGATCAAAGCGGTTTAAAAATGGTCACTTTCGCTCTTCTAAGTAAGGAGAGTGAGATGTAACATCTTTTGGCTTGACTATATTTATCTGCATAGTTGTTGGACTATATTGGATAAAAGTACAAGTATACATGCATAAACAAACATCTGTTCGAACAAAATCCAGCAATCATATGAATAGCTTGCATGATGACTCTAATAATATAAAATCAGTAACGCAAACTTGTTATGCTTATTCTTAAGTAAAAAGGACTCACTGAGTCAAAGAGAGTTCATACAATAGGTAGGAAAAGTAACGATGTAATACTCTTCATAGTCTCGGGATCTTGAATGCTATGGCCATCTCCATGCTCGTACATGCATAATGACATCCTTACCACGTTCAACGCAACTTCAATGAAACTCTTAAAGTCTGGAGAATTGGTAGCTTCTTTATTTATCTTCTTCCATGTTTCACATATCAATGAATTCATATGCCTTCGAGCATCAGCATCAGAAGCCCCAGTTTCACTGATATAGCACTCAACTGCTTTAGGTATATCACCCGTTTCCTTTTCACGCTACAAAAATAATAGTACAATAATGTGGTAAAAAAATTAATATCATATTTCATGAAATTCTCAATAGCTAATTAAATAAGAGATAAGATGCTTAAATATCTCATAAATATTCACAAATGAGCACCTGGCACCTGAAAGTTTTTTTTTTTTAACACTTATATACCCAAGAAGTTTATTAGCAAAAATACCATGGTCGTTTTCTACCATTAAATTTGGCTGTTAAATTATGTAATTTAACCAGTGTCTTTAATAGTCAAACTCAATAGCAAATAACGGTTTAAGGCAAAAATGCTAGGAAATAAAACTTTCGGGGCATATAAAAGAAAAAAAAAAACTTTCTGATGTTGAATGTTCCTTCGTGTATACTTTTGGGGTATTTAAGCTCATTATCCCATTAAATAATTGAAAGAATATCGCCATGCTACCTTTGATGTTGCCAGGTCATTGACAAGGCGTAAAATGATTGATGAAGAACGAATAAGGCCATAATATTCTTCTAGGCAGACAGAGTCTAGAAGGCTTGAATTAGAAAGTACACAATAAGCATGAACAAGCATGACAGATCCACTACTTGTAATCCACGCATTTTCTAAGAACTCATGCAGGTTTGGTTGATAGCCACTACGGTACCATTTCGCCTCAACCAGATATGATTTACAAAGATTGGCCCACTGAAAGAGAAATAAGAAAAAAATAATTAACACTTTAAATAAGAGAATAAAATCTTTGCTTAAAAAAAAAAAGAAACAAAAGAATATAATCACTATGATTTGTATCAAAGCAAGCATACCACTTTCTTAAGGTGAGGAATTATGTTGCGTCCACTCTCTTTAAGGATGTCAAAAGCCACTTCATTGACAAAATTATAAAGTGCAAGGAAGCATATTTTCATGTACTCTGGAAGAGAATCAATGCCATTTATATCCCATCTACAAAATTTTTATTAACACGTTAAGACAATTAGAAAAAGAGAAATTAAAGTATATATGATAAAAAGGTGATAATTAAAGTGCTGACCTGTCAATGACTTCTGTGAAAATTTCTAATTCTTCTAATTCGCCATAGAGATCATAAACATCATCGATTGTAGTTATCAGTGCATTAACCTTTGTTGCCACTCTTCTATAATATCCAAAGCGTGGTTCCTCAGCAAATGCCACTGTCCAAACGAAGTTCTCCACCATTCTATCCCTTGAAAAGTTTAACTTTTCTCCAAGTCCAATTCTTTTCCACCATCTGTACATTAGAAACCCATGAAATTTCTCGATAAACTTTTTAATTTACTATAGCATAACGAGAAATATGTTTGAGATGAAACACAAATAACTTTAATTGAATTTTCCCTCTGATATGTTGAAATTGTAAGATAACTAGAAAAAAAACAGCGAAAGATTCCAAATTTAAAAAGAGCATGACTATTTTCGTACACACATATGTATACCTTGATGTATTTTTCAAATCTTCTTGGTATTTGGCTTGTAAAATGTTGAAATCCAACTTAGCAAGCTTAAGCAATGCAGGGCTCATGTTCTGTCTTCTTTCATAAACATCAATGAACCATCGAGCTTCCAATCTTGATATTCTCCAATGGAGAGGAAGCTCCAAAGCATGATTAACTAAGGGTGATGTCTCATTTTCTTCATTGTTTTGACAGACAAATTCTTTGAGAGAAGTTGAGCTTAAATCTCTAGCTTCATCTAGTATTATTTCACCTTCCATTGAAAGAAATGAAGCTTCATACAGTGAAAGAATCCCTTTGATATCAATGGAAAGGCCAGATTGAAAGTTGCCGTTATCATCAAGAAATCCTTTAAATACCTCTGCAGACACCCAAGCAAATAAAAACAGTGTTTAGTGGTATATAAGACATGTATTTTTTTAGCAAACCTTAATAAATTGAGGATCAAATAAATACCTGATGACACATCATAGCCATGTTGTCTCAAGAGTCTGAATTCAAGAGCCGTAGCAAATAAGTTGTTGTTCCTCTTTAATTGGTCCCTATTCTTGTAAATGTTTTTTATGATATTGCTTATTTCAAGGCCAAAATGATGATCCACGCCAAGTCTTTGTAAGATATCAATAAGCTCAAGTTGATCCATAGGATTTTCCAACTTCAAGAGCATTAGTCTTACTTCTTCTTTCAGCCTATCAGTTTCTTCTGCATATGAAGTTTCCTGACATTTGCTCATTGTTAGAGTTATAAAATTTATAAAACCTACATATATAATTCCTATGAAACAAGGAAATAATATTAGGAAGAGCCAAAGGAATAATGAGTATTACAAAATAAACTTACGACGAAATCACTTGTTAATGACTGGATATAGTCGTGGCTCCAAATTGAAGGTCGGAAGTAATTTCCAGATCGACGAGAAGTATTGTTCTGATCAGAAGTGATAATGGAAGAAGCCTTGCATTGGACTGAACAAGGAACACAAGATTTGTTCATTGTTGAAAGTGATGAAACGATTTTGTTTTTGAAGAGAGTAGTGTTTGAAAGTAAGGTGAATTGACGGAGAGCCATTGGCTTGGTGAGAGGGAGAGTGAGAGGGAGAGAGAGAGAGCTTATTACTCAATTCCTCTTGTTTATCGCTTGAGATGTTCTGTGGCTAGTGGAAGCCATTGCTCTCCATTTATATTAGGCATAAATCATTTTTATATTTGCTATAGAAATCTTTTTAGAAATGCCGTTAAATATGCGCACACCTGATCACTTTAACTACATAAATCAACACGTGGGTAAGTTTGAAAGTGACTTATTTGGTTATTTAAATGCAACGTTAATTAAAAGATGTATAACGTTAAGAACGCTATTAAATTCTTTTTTATATTATATTTGGCCCGTGATGAGTGATTTACAATGCATAAAGTCCTCCTGGTATCACCGGAATCATTATCGCGATATTAAAGAATGTCTACTTTCAAAAGTATGTATTTTAGTGGTGACAAAATATTTGAGCAATAACGTGACATAACGTGGCATAAAAGTAATGACGTGAAAACGACATGGTGTTAGACCAACAGTGTCGTGGAGCTGACCAATGATAACGTGGCGGCCAATGGTGGAACCCTTTTTTTTTTTTTTCTGGCATCATTTTTTGTGGCAGCAATCTTTCTATTTGGAGGTACTTTCAGCAGCGATATAATTGTTACCTCCAAAAGTGTCTTTTAGCTAAAAGTTGGCACTTGAAGTGTTTTTTGGCAGCAACTTGTTTACTCACTGCAAAAACTTTTTACCCACAACTGCAGCAATGACTTTTTAGATATGACTTTTATACTTACAATGAGGATTTTTTATTACAATTGAAAGTCAATTTTTTGTAATGAAAATTTCTTTAGTGATCCAAATTAGACCTTAGAAATGTGTCTGGTGACATATTTATTCTCATTTGACTTTTTTTTTTTGTTACAAAGTTCGCTCTGCACACACCCCACACACACATACCACTCGACCAAACGGCTAATGGTTATTCTCATTTGACTTTATCAAATCTTTTTGTGTGCATTTGGATTAAAGTGCAAATGACGTCTTGGAACTTCAATTTTTCAAAGGTTTGGTCTCTTCTAGAAATTTGATAATAATTTTCCTTATTTTATAACTTATTAGGCGTTAATTTATAACTGATAATTCTTTATTTTAGATTAAAATACTGTGACTACTTTTTTAGTTTACATCAATTACACAAATCTCCTTTTTATTTTAAAAACATAGAGTTTTGTCCGATCAATTAACATCATTAAGAATATCCTAAAAATATTATTTTTAACTGAAATTTATATTATAATAAATTTTATTTACTATTTTACCCATCATTCTAACAAATTTCTAAATTATATTTTTATAGTTTCAAGAACTTTATTCAGTTAAGGTAAAGATAAAAGACTTGATTAAAAATTTAACTAATTTTTTCAACAAATATATATATTTGACTGAATATGTTTACAAATTTTTTAACAAAAATGTTTTTAAACGTTTTGAATATAAATTTAAATAATTTATAAAACCTTTCAAACTTATTTTATTTAAACTTTACCAATAACAAAAACTATTTATGTGAAATATGTTTTTACAATTTAAAATAAATCAAAGTAAATAATTTCTAATGAATGTGATAAAAAATTAAAATTATAAAATTTTATGATTTAAATTAAATTAATAAATTTTATAACATATTAGCAATTTTAAAAATATATGTATCAGAATCATTTTTGATTTTATAAAAAACATTTTTTTGAAAAATATAAATGTGTAAATAATTATTAAGTTAAAAAAGGATGTTTTGGTTAAAAAATAATTTAAAGTCAAACTTCAAGGTCAACTAATTGTTTGTGTAAATGGAAATGGAACCTTAAACATAAGAGAAATGTTTGTGTAACATACATTTTAATTTTAAAGGAAGTTCGTATACATTTTCAAAATAGAGAGAAGGTTGTGTAATTGAGATAAAATAGAAGACTGTCGGTGTATTTTACTCTCTTTTTTTATAATGTAGAGACGGAAAATGAGGAATTTTAATTAAAAAATTTCTTAGTAAATCTTCTGAATCTGAAATCACTGTTAAAGGACCTATCTTCTTTTGGGTTTCCTCCAATTAAAACAACATTTTCAATTTAGACTTAAAACGGAATTCCTTGTCTCTTCATTCCCTCTTAAAATGACATTTAAAAAAGAAATTTGATCTTTGAGAAAAATAAATGTCCAATATTGCAAAATCACTCGTTGTGCCCTTTTTTCAGTCTTAAGAGATCATCTTGGGGTCTTTTTTGTTTTTCCATTTTTCCCACCAGATCATGTTAGAGTCATTTAGCATTTTGTCCGGGCTAGTGGAATCATAGTCACTTTCTCCCATTTTTTAAATATATATTTTTTTAATAAAATTTATGTATGCCTGTAACCTTGATACCACTCCATTGTTTGATTCGTTCCTAGGTTATAATTTTTTTTCTGGGCTAAAGTTCCTAGGTTATAATTAATTGAACGGATTTGAATAAATTACTAAATGCTTTGGCTGGAACTGCACCACAATTCTTAAAGAGCATCACGTGTTTGCAATTCTTAATAGTACTATAAATTAACGTGCCTTCTTAAAGATGATTAGTTATATTTGTCCAATCAACATAATTTGATATAACATTCGCTTATTTTAAAAAATAATTTATAATCACCGACTTAAAATTATTTTAATCTTACAATTCTTAATTGTAGTTAAATGTCAATTTTTTCACGTTTAACCTGAATTTGTTCTATTTAGCCCTCAGATTCGTCCTATACCTACCTTGGGAGCGTTAAGATAAGATGTATGGTTACATTTCGTTGATCAACCACCAAAGTATATAATAAAAAATATTTAAATAATTTCTAAAACATAAATATTTTTTTTTTTTTGCATGGGTATATTAAAAGCAATCTTATTTAAAGTACTGCTAATTGATGTTAATATATAAGTGGTTTCACCGAAATCTTATGCTCATTGTGAAGATGTTATGCAGAAACGGATTTGAGATCGAGATTTAGTCCGTAAAAGATCCGAGTAACATGTGATTAAGTTTTCTTCTTTATGAAAGAGAAAGATACTGACGACTTAGCTAATATACTCCGATCCCACCGGTTCTATACCCATGATATGGAAGCAAAGTAACTAATTTTAGATTAAGATGCAATTTTAACAATAAAATTTATCTTAAAAGGTATTGGATACCATAAAATTTATTATTTGAGTGCAAATATACATGAAATTATCAAACGGGGTATTTGGCACCACACCGTTAATGCCCGTTACTTTACTATTGGTAAAGCCCATGAAGTTAATTTCAAGGTGCATTTTTAAAAACGAAGTTTATATCAAAAGGCATACTGAACACTGTAAAATTTACTTGGATGCAAAAGATATACATGAACTTTTTACAAGAAAGAAAAATTAATAAAATTTATTAACTCTCGTAAATGTTCGTTAACTTTATTATTTTAGATTCCATCATGTCATATTTTTTTTTTCCATTCATTCCCACTTTCAAATCTATCAATCTTTCTCTCCTCATATTTAACACACATTCTCTTTGTCATGTCCTTTTCACAACCTTCAAGCCTTTCACATGTATTTACCCAAGAGGACATTTTTTCCTTCTAGGTTACAAGATTCATTGGTTAAACCCAAGTACTAACTCTAGTTCTTAATATAGGACGTAATTGACTAATTTGAAGAGATTAAATAAATTAAATAAATTAAATTAAAATTATATTTATTATTTTTCTCCAAATTAATTTGTTTGGCTTATAAACTAATAAATAATTTAATAATACATATAAATATTCGAGAGAGATCAAATAATAATTTGATATAATTAAGTAATTATTTTACTTCTTTAGTTTTCCTAAATTAGTCTATTATACTAAGGAGAGGAGAAAGTAGCAATGAGTAGAGAGAAAACGTGATATTTTACGGAACCTAACAAAATAAATTTAACAGACGTTTATGGGGATTGATGAATTTTGTTATTTTTCCCCTTTTAGAAAGTTCTTGTAGATTTTTGCACCTGGATAAACTTTATAATGGATAGTATTTCTTGATATAAACTTCGTTATTAAAAATACACTTTAAAATTAACTTTGTGGGCCCTACTAAAAGTAAAGTAATGAATATTAACTATGTGGTGCCATATGCCTCATTTGACAATTTCATGTATATATTTATATCCAAATAAATTTTATTATTTAACTCTTAATAATATTTCACAAACCTATGTCCAATGTTACCTCTGATTCTTAGTATAAAAAATAAAAACTAATTTGCAGATATTTAAAAAAATCAGTTAAAACTTAAGAAAATTAGTTAAGTTTGGTTATTTATAATAAATGAATGTTATCTTTCTTAAAATACCTCTGTTAATTTGTATGCATAAGAATAAAAATCATTTAACATGTGCAATCAACATGAGGAATATTTTAAGAAAATGAATAAATATAGAACACAAGTTGATTGAGGTTTTATATTTAAGATCAATTTAAATTTTCAACTAACTCTTATATTTAAAACAGGAGGTAGTTTCAACTTCCAAAATAAAACAAGAAATTTATATCATATCGGATGCCTAAAGAGCGGTCTATTTGAAAGAGTAACTTACATTAGTTCCCCTTCAATTGTGTCTTATTGGACAAATAAAACAGCTGAAATACAAAGGAGACAACTTTTGAGGTAAGATCACATTGAGTCAAAAGCATAGTTAAAAATATTTCAGAAATTTATCATAAAATCAAGAAAAATAGATAAAGAAATGTTGCCAACAATATTGAGGGTCAAAGGAGGTAGAACGGAGAAAATAGCTCAAAAAAGAATTTTAATTCATTTTAAAAATTTTGGTTAATTAAGTAAAAATTAGCTAAAATTAATTCTTCAACATACCATAAGGCTTCAAATAATTGAACCAAAAAATGGGGAATAATTATTTTGAGATAATATAAATTTATAAAAATCATTTTATCCTCAAGGGATACTTTTGGATTTAAGAATATTTTAAGCATATTTA